AAAAAATCCGCTGGGATCTGCCTGCACCGGGACCTCCTTCGCTCCGGCTCGGAGGTGGATGCATTTTTCATGAGCGCTGGGTGAACAGGTGCAAAGTGCGGCGGGGCGGCCCGGCCCCGCACCCCGGCCCGCTTCGGGGCGGCGTGTGCGTGTCCGTGTGTCTGCCCGTGTCTGTGTGCGTGTCCGTGTGTGTGTGTGTGCGCCCCGGCGTGTGCATGTGTGTGTGTGTGTATTAGGAGATTATGGAGAGCAGCGACCGGGACATGTACCGCCAGTTTCAGGACTGGTGTCTCAGGACTTACGGGGACTCAGGAAAAACCAAGACGGTGACCCGTAAAAAATACGACCGGATCGTCCAGCTCCTGAACGGCTCGGAGTCGAGCTCCACGGATAATGCCAAATTCAAATTCTGGGTCAAATCTAAAGGCTTCCAGCTCGGCAACTCGGACGAGGTCAGTGGTGGTGCTGGAGGAGGGAAGCAAGTGCTGTACGTGCCAGTCAAAACCACGGTTAGTAGAGAATTGTCTTCCTTGTTCTATGTCGGCCGCTGCAGCCCGCTCCGGGAGCGAGAGGCGCAGGGGGAGCCGCAGCCACAGTTGGCTCCTTCCTCCCTCTTCCCCCAAGTCATCATCACCATGTTGCGTTTGCCTGTCACATTATACACCGCCGAGGTCTTTGTGGGTCCTTTTATTTAAAGCGATCGTGCGCACAACGCACCCCGCCGGGTCGGTGTCGTTCTCCTTCCTCCTCGTCCTCCTCGTTCCCCCCGTCCCCCCGGGCCGCTGCGGCGGGGTTGGGGTGTGCTATAGTCCCGCCGCGGCTCCGGCCATTGTGCCGGTCCCCGCCGCCCCGGGCAGCGGCCCCCGCCGCCGGCGGGGCTGATGGATGGCGCACGGGGGTACCCTGCCTGGCACAAAGCCAGGCGCGGCGCCGGGCGGTGGTTCCCCGGGATATCTGTTGGGGTTTTCTTTCTTTATTTATTTTTTATTAGTATTATTTTTACCCGTTTTTCTTTATTGTTATCCCCCAGCCCTAGCGCCGCCGCCGAGCGGCCGCGAATGAGCCCGGCTTGGCTGTGAAGCGCCGGCTGCGCTAGTAAGGGGCGGCGGGAGGGAGAGGATGCTCAACAAAGGGAGGACGGGGTTCCGCATGACCGAGGGAAGGGTGTATTTTGTGGCACTTTCTGGGGTCGCGGGAACCCCTCAGCACTTCGTTCGGTGCGCTGGGGTAGCGTGGCATCCCCGGCAGGCGCTGGCGTTACGGGCTCGGCGCAGGTCTGACAGCCGGAGAGCTATTATGCTTGGTGGTGGCAGGAGCGACAGATTTTCCTATTTAAGAAGATGGGGACTGTTGGTTGCAAGTAGGTTTTGCCTATTGAACTGTCTTAATGTATCATTATTCTTACTTCTTATGCGCTGGGTCACGCAAGCTAAGCTTCTTTTGTCTGTGCGTGGGGCGGGTGTGGAGGGGGAGCCGAGAAAGGAAACCCGGCAATTAAAAATATTCCTGCCTGGGCATTTGGCTTGGATGAGCAATATTCTCTCTCTTTCCTTTTTTTTTTTTTTTTTTTTTTTTTGTTTTTTTTTTTTTTTTTTTTTTTTTTTGGAGAGGCAGCTTATCCGGACCTAACGGGAAGGTTGCTGGGTGGCGCAGCAAAGGGGGCTTCTTGGAAAGTATTCTGGGTTGGGTTGTGACGTAGGCTGCTGGGGAAATCTGCCTCTCTTTGCCTTGCTGAAGTCATAAACCTGGGCATTCCCAGGGGCTGGCTTCTATTTGCCCCCTTGTCATCAGCGTTGTCATGGCTGTGAGGAGGCAGAAGTGGGAAATTAATTTTAAGGAGATCTTCAATACGAAGATTTAAAGTAAAAGAGACGCTCTGGACAGGTTTTTCCTTCTTTATGGTTTTTATTCACAGAAGTATTTCAGGTCTGTCTATAGATTCAGATGATTTGGCAGATCTCTGTTTTACTGTTACAAGATTGATTGCTCATCTCTGAGCCCAGACAGTACCATAGATACAGTTTATAACAAAAAGGTTGCCTAAAGCAGAAGTCTCCAATTAGCTTAGTATTTTTAAATATCTCTCCTTCCCACTGAAATCATTATTTTGAAAGGCCAGTGGGGAAGATTGTTTATTCCCAAGACTATATTTTTCACTGCAAATTCAAAACTGTAAGCAAATTCAGTATTTTAAAAAATGACATTGACTACCCTACTAAATAAAGAGGATAACCTTAATTTTACATGATGGAATTTAAAAATGAAGTGCTTTTCTGGTCCTCTGAAACACAAGACTCAGTGATGATCAGCTTGTTTATTTTCTCTCACCTTTGCTAGGCCATGAAAGCCTGGAGTCCCGCCTTCCATCCTGTTTTCTATTTTAAGAACACAGAATCAATTTTTATTTTTATTTTTCTCCACAAGAGATTTCAGTGAGAGGTCGAGCATCTTGTAGGTTTTATCTTATGTACATTTGTGGGAATCACACCCTTGGCTGTGAATGTCTGTGTATGTCCATATATATGCATTTATATTCACAGAGGAGTAACTCTACATACTTCAGCAACCAAGCAGGAATTCTAATAAAATTAGGACTACTAATGAAATCAAAAAGGGAAAAGTTAGCATGACCTATCTGTAAGCAATTCCTGAATATCTGTGTATAACCTGAGCAATGACATATAAACATTTCCAGAAGAGGTCTTTTATGTAGGTGCAATTTCCTCCTGTTGGCCATTAGAAATTTGTTATCCAACATAAATGGGAAAAGGGGATGCTTGGCAACCTTCAGCTCTGAAAAACAAAGGCCAGCCTCTCCTAAACACATGAATCTGATGTTACTATCCCACCACAAAAGGTAGAGGAGTGTTTAAACAGACCCACAGGGTGGCAGTGGTTTGTATGAGCTACTGCCAGAGCCAGGGCAGCACCTGCCAGGCACTGAAGGCTCAGAAAGAACATGTTTGACAGAACAGGGATGCAGTCCCTGACACAGAGAAAGTCAGTGGCAAAGCTCCTATCGACTTCAAGAGGTCTAGAATTTCACCTAGATGGGAATGATAAGTTACAGGGGGAAAAAATTGGATTTTCATCAGACAGAAATTGTTGGTAAGCCTTAAAAGCCCATTCCCTTATTTCTTTAACTCTTAATTATTATTTAAGAGTTTATTAATTTGTGATCATTTTTGGTTTTTTCCTCCCCTCTCTCATGGTTATCCTATACATTTGAGCCTCTCCAGTCCTCAGAGAGAGCCCCAAATGGTAGCAGAGCCCCAAACTGTGAATCTCTCCCTCTTTTTGTCCATCACTTGATCTCACCATAGGTAAAAGTAATTTCAATTTAAAAATTAATCACTGCATGAACACTCCCTGTTCAATAACAGGACGGATGAAATTACAGGTTGGACTCTGCAGTCACAAGCTAGTCAAAAATAAGCAAATATTCAAATACTTTGTTAGGAATTACTCTCTCCTTGAAGCTTTAAGATTTGCTGCTCAGCTTTGCTGTCAGCCAGAGAGATTTGCTCCTGATGGTGCTGTAATCCACTGCTGCTGGTAATTAGACATCATTACTGCTGCGTTAAAGGGAAAGAGAGAAGGAGAGAGGACAGGCTGGGGCTAATTAACTACTTGATTCTAATGAAAGAAAGAGAGCCTGATAGCAACTGGGAGGTTGCACCGGAACAGGCTAGATGTACAACACAGACTTAATTGAAGCAGGGTGTCTTGCAGTCTCACAGTAGCTCAGGCTTGGTCTACTTTCATATTCTGTGGGCAGTAGTGCACGAGGTATTAATCTGTTTTTCCCTTGCCTGGTTGATAAGTAGCTCAAAATCACAGGCCTGTCTTCAGTATCAAGTTTAAGCATGCCAGCAAGGAGAATGCATAGATGATTATGTGCTGGCTTAATCTATTTTACGGGTATGGTCTCCTCAAGAGCAACAGGAACAAATCAATTTCTGAATGTTCACATCCCTCTGTGGCCTAGGAGATGCACTTTTGGTCACCAGGCAACAACATTCCCTGCAAAACAGCCATTTTAGGTCCAGAGTGGGACAACACACACTACGGTATTCCTGTATGCTTAAGGTATTCCTGCATGCAACCTAGCAAGTATTTCACTTCTGCAACTTTTCAGATTGTCACCACTGTAGGTTTTCTTTTGTCAAACCCAAGCTGCACTTTGTGAAAGCAGTGAAATTATGCCTTGCCTAGACACACAGTATAAACAAAACAGGTTAGGCCAACAAATATGCCAAATGGTTGACACTGTTGACTTTTAATAGTTGGTACTCACCAACAATAAGGAGGTATGGAACTAGTATCTCTGGTAAGATAGCCTTTCTAACTATATACATGATTTTTAGGTGTATTTTTAAAATTTATTTTCTGCATAGTTTCTTTAGCTGGAGCTATTTATTGATTGGCAGCTTGAAAACAAATTTCCCCTTGCAACTCTCCTTTCTCTGGGTGGATGCTGTGTGTGGACACAAATATGGACCCTAAAAACTAGTCTTGATTTTGAAAGATGTTATAAAATAATGGCCTGAGCTGTATCAGCAGACTTTAAGCAGAATTTTCCATTAAAAAAGAAGGGCCAAGATGACTGCAGTATAGCTCTCAAATATAGAATTTACACAGTACTAGCAAACTAATAGAATATAATCTCAAAGGCCGAGTTCAGATTACTTTTATGTTATTACTAATTTGAAATTACTCTATTGACTTTAATGATATCACAGACCTAATGTATGAATTTTCCTGCTCTTTCTTTTATATTTTCCAACTACAAGCAGAGAATGAACTTTCATTCTGAAACCAAATTTTGTTTAGTTTAAATCTTTAGATCCTCCTGGAGGATCTGGTACTGCACGGGTTGCTGCTAGCAGACCAGCAAGGCTTTCTGCAGGTGCAGGGTTGTACTACTGAACCTGATTACAGGATTTAAGGCTTAAAATTATAGACCAGTCAGCTCTAAGGAGCAGGCTATATCCCAACCCACCTCTTGTTCTGTTGGACATGAAGAATAGTAGATAGATACATGAGCTTATGCTCCTTTTCTTTTTATGTAAATTAATTTCTTTATGAACAATAGAAAAAACAGATCACAACATAAATAGCTTATAGGTCAAAATTTATTGCTTTAAGCTATCTTACATTTAAAATTGTTCATTATTTTAGGACATTTTGTAGGAATTTGAAAATAAGCATCTCTTTTTAAAAATTTCTCCCCATTTTTGTGCCCATCAATAGAAAAAATTTATAAAAGTGTTTTACAAATGTATATTGGTAGCTCTGTAGCCTACTGAACTGCCAGCACATAATGGCAGTAAGTACTGCAGAAAGGTGATGCTGAGGGTGAGCTATAATTTATCCCAAGGTACGATGCTGCGGGAGTTTTACAGAGCCATTAAATGCACCTTCCAGGCTCAGGAGTGGCATTCAAACCTTGCCATATCCGCCCTGGTTTAACTGCCCACCACATTTCCCTTAACCCCCGCTCAGGTCT